CGGGGAGGGCGCACAGTCTCCGAGCCGTGGGGCCCGGGGGTTCCTGAGGCTGCCTGGCCCTCCCGGCCCCTCCAGGAACCCCCACACCCTGGTGGAGGTAACATCCTTCGCGGCCATCAACAAGTTCCAGCCGTTCAACGTGGCCGTTTCCAGCAACGTGCTGTTCCTGCTGGTGTGTGGCCAAGACCCCCACAGGGGCCGCCCGGGAGGGAGGGCAGGGGTCCCCAGGATATCAGCTCCACGAGGGTGGGACCCTTGTCTGCCTTGCTTGTTACTGGCGAACCGTAGGCGCTCAATACATGCTCCTAGGGCGAGAGGCGGGCTGGCTCTGCGTGGGGGCAGGGCCAGAGGCTGACCCCACCTCCCACGTCCCCGCCCTCCCAGGACTTCCACAGCCACCTGACTCGCAGCGAGGTGGTGGGCTACCTGGCCGGCCGCTGGGACGTCAACAGCCAGAGTGCGTGGGGGTCTGGTCCGGGTGGCGAAGGGTGGGGGGACATCAGGGTACGCGGGGCCTGGTGTCCTGGGCCGAGTCACAATGCTCCCTCCCCACAGTGCTCACCGTGCTGAGAGCCTTTCCCTGTCGGAGCCGGCTCGGGGACGCTGAGACCGCCGCCACCATCGAGGAGGAGGTGAGGGAACGCCCGGGACGCCACAGCCCAGGGTGGCCCAGGCCCAGCTGTCCCGGGCATTGCCCTGTGGCTGGCACCAGCCCCGCAAGCGTGTAGGTGAACGCGAGTGGCCGTCCCTGTACCCGGGACCCCACAGTGAAGGGCTAAGGGCACTGGATCGCTTGGCCCCGGCGCTCAAACCCCGCCAGCCCCTTCCCCTCTCAGAACCTCGGTCTCCTCCTCTGTAAAATTAGAAGCTTCAAGGAAGGGCTGTGAGAGCTGGGTGAGGCGGCTCACAGCTGTCATCCCAGCACTTGGGAGGCCAAGGCGGGAGGATCACTCGAGATCAGGAGTTCGAGACCAGCCTGGGCAACATAGCGGGACCTCGT